CCGCCGCCGCTCGTTGCAGCGGGAGCCCTGTTCCCCCGTCGCGTAGTTGAGAGCGGCGTGAATGAGGGGCCGGGGACTGATCGGCCCATCAGCCGGCCGCGGGGTGATCTTGCCTCCCCCTGTCCAACTTTCGTGGGTGCGCGGTGGCTTTAGCCGTAGTTTAGAGAAAGAAAAACCTGTTGGAAGTGGGCTGGTGATGGGAAGGCGCGCTGCCGCTCGTGTTTGTCTGAGAGGGGTGGCGGTGCCTGTTGCTGTTGTTGTTGCCGCTTCTCCGCCCTCTTTCGCTGCCCCTGTGATCGTGACTTGAAGGTAGAAATGATTAAAAGCGCTTTGCTTACGAGTCTGAAAAAAAAATACTGTCGAGAAAAATACTAGGAGATAGCATTTTAGTAACGTTGACAGGAGTACTTTTGGGGACAGCGAAGCTAAGCTAACGTAAGTCTTTTAGTTGTGCATTGGGTAAGGTATCGTGTACAGTTTTGTAGCTACACAATATAAGAAGCTGTCCCGTCTAAGTTCTGGTAAAAAGTTTAAAGCAAATATTGTTTACATAGACTTTGCTTTAAACATTTGTTACAATTTTTCTGGCTAGCTGTCAAACTCTTTGATTCATGTGTTTCATACTGTGATGCTGTTTGCCCTGTATAAATTCTATACAAGATTTGTTTGGAGTGGATTTAAGAGAAAGTACAAGAAGATGGTGTTTGAGTTTTTTATTCTGATGATTGATGAAAGCAGCTTTAGAGGCTGGCTAGTAGATGTAAAAGAATGCAGGAACAAGGAGGAGAAAAATATAAAATGGTGATTTGAGATAAAAGGGTTTCTTGGATTATTAATTTAAAAGATCTCATTAAAAAGATACAAAGATGGTAGTAGCACAGTGCTTACACACGTTAAACTTACTTCTTCTTGAGTCATGTTAAATGAGATGCTTTTCTTTTCTTGTAGTAAGAGTCCAGGATGAGTTATGCAGAAAAACCTGATGAAATCACGAAAGATGAATGGATGGAAAAGCTTAATAACTTGCATATCCAGAGAGCAGACATGAACCGCCTTATCATGAACTACCTTGTTACAGGTAAAAATGAGTAGTAATGCTAAGAGGCTGTTAAATGCATGTTGCTTATTTTATCAAGACAGTTTTGGCTAGAATATACTACTAGATGGAGTGAAGTTAACGGCTTTGAGGACTCAGTGATTGCTGTTGGCTTCTCTTAGCAATGTACAACTGCTCTTGTGTTCTCTTCAGTGGCAAGCGACTAAGATTTAGAAAGCAAGCAGTTATGCAATAGGAGTGATACTTATTAACCTTAACTCTTCTGCTAAAAGATATAGAATAGACAGTGTTTTCTGGAATGCTGTAAACAAACATGACCCGCTTCTTTATGATGTCCTTTTTTGTGCCATTAAAAGGAGTTCAAGATACATTGCAGTTGTTAAATAGCACTCTGAAAGCTGCACAGAACGACTATCAGAAGCAAGTGTTAACTAGCTAGAAAGATAAACTGTAAAAGCACACAGTTGTCAAAATATTTTGAGACCAAAAATATTAACCCCTTCAGCATGTAGCCTAACTTTATACGTAGAACAATCAGAAAGCCTTGGAAATTGTCCCTAGCAATTATGATGCATACCATCACAGTAAGCTATACTAGGGTGGAGGCATTTGTATCCGATCTACACCCCTGTTTACATTGGTGTGTAGGTGAAGCCTCTGGGATGAAGGAAGAGCATCTTAGTGGGTGGTGTAAATCATTTTTGTGTCTATGAAAGCATGACTTACGATTTAAAATAGCTGTTATAACTTTAAAATAAATATAGCATTAGTAAGAGAAACCAAAACCCATTTTCTTTTTCTATTTCTTCTCAGTAAAACTGCTAGGTCTGCGTAAACAGATTTGGGGGCTGGATGGAGAAGCAAAACCACCCAAATTTTGAAAATGTGATTTTGAAAATCCCATTTTGGAATAAGTACCCTGCTCAATTTAAGTATAAAACAAGCTTTCAAGTTGTGAAGTCTCAAACTACAGATTGCACACATCCTTAGAGAGGATGTGTGCCCTTAGAGAAGACACATGAGTTAAGAATGAATTAATTGTGTACTGTTAGATGCTTGTTGAATAAGTGCCTATTTAAATAGAGAAGAATTTTTTGGAAGTTCAGCCTTAATCTTTAAACCCTGAAAATGCACAAGCAGTACTCAAATATTTTCATTTAAGCTGTTGATTTTTTTTAAAGTGTTTCATAAAATATATTTTATATGTAAAATGTTTCTGTTTCAGAGGGCTTTAAAGAAGCAGCAGAGAAATTTCGAATGGAGTCTGGAATTGAACCCAGTGTTGATTTAGAGACTCTCGATGAAAGAATAAAAATTCGAGAAATGATATTGAAAGGACAGATTCAAGAAGCCATTGCGTTAATAAACAGCCTCCATCCAGAATTGCTAGATACAAACAGATATCTTTACTTCCATTTGCAGGTAAGGACAGGTGGCAAACTTTATCTTTGTTTTTAAAGGTTGCTGAGAGGCTGGAAAAAGTAGTGCAGATTTTATGAGTATGTTGGGAAGTTTGTGACTGAACATGGATGCAATTTCAAGCATTTGTTCTTGGCGTCCTTTTGTAGCAATGGGAAACTTTGTGGCACGGTGCAGGAACCATCATGTACAATTCGTAACATAAAAACTTACAACAGCAGCAGTGGTCTGTGACTTGCCAACTTGCAGTTACAGTGAATCTGGATTTCTAGTAGTTCCTTGAGTAACACATCTTTTCAAAACGTGTTACTCAAAAGCATCATGTTACCTTTTTCGGAAGATTTTGTAGACAAGTCTGCTGCTCCTTGTCTCACACATGGGGAAGAATTGACCTCAAACTGTCAAATTATGGATTAGTGTTTGTCTCAAATTACACATTAATGTCTGAAGATTATGGTCTTGAAATACTGAAAATCTGTTAATTTGTTTAGCTAATATTGCTGTGTCTTTCATACGTAGCAACAGCATTTGATTGAACTGATTCGGCAGCGTGAGACAGAAGCAGCTCTGGAATTTGCTCAGACCCAATTAGCAGAACAAGGCGAGGAGAGCCGGGAATGCCTGACAGAAATGGAGCGTACGCTGGCTTTGCTTGCCTTTGATAATCCGGAAGAATCACCATTTGGAGACTTGCTTAACATGATGCAGCGACAGAAGGTAGTCCTTTCTCAAAAGGAAATTGATGTCTTTTATTCATAAGTGGTGAAAATAATGTCCAAATATTTTTGAAATGTTTAGAAAAAAATTATGTAATGGTATGCAAAAGAACAGGAGTGTTTCTTAAGCAAGATTGAAAAAACTAGTGTTAATGTATTCAACTACTTGGTTCTCTTCCTTGTTTTCTCCAGGCTTATAGTCTATGGAGCTTTGTCCTGACTGTGTTCTGAGGAATTAGCATACTAGGTGTGATCTTTTCAATGTCTGTGTGACATTAGCAGTGTATGATTAACACTGCTAATGAAAACTGTTACTGAACTCCAGTATTTCTTTTCCAGGTATGGAGTGAGGTTAATCAAGCTGTTCTAGACTATGAAAATCGTGAATCAACACCCAAGTTGGCAAAATTACTGAAATTACTACTGTGGGCTCAGAATGAGCTGGACCAGAAGAAAGTGAAATATCCCAAAATGACAGACCTCAGCAAGGGGACGATTGAAGAACCCAAGTAAAACGTGTGCAGATGGACATCAAACAATCTTAGTACTGCACAGTATACATTTATATCAGTCTGTGACTGAAATATTTTTACTACAGTACAGCACTCAATTCAGATTTTTCAATGAACACCTAATTTGAAGGGAGAAAAGTCCCTTTTAAATGCTGCAAAAACTGCATTGAAAGGCGCTGTATCTCTTTGAAAGTCTGACTTAGGCTATGCACTATAATACATTTTTAAAAAAAACAATTAAACAGGACAGGAAAAATAGCATTTTTAAAAGTACAGAACTCAAGCTTTCTAATTGGCTACTGATGCCTAGTTTAGTGGCCAGTGAGTTAATACGGAGTTATATTGGCAACTATTCAGTTAAGTTTAACTGTCTCCTGTTTGAAATGTGTATATAGAACAGTGAATATTTTCTACCTTTAAGTTATAGCCAGATATACATTCCCCTTAAAAGTAACTGGTCAAGTTTTCATCTATAAACTTTGCAGTAAAGTCAACCTTTTGCTTAGGACATAGTGTACAAACTTGTAAATCATAATTTAAGGACTTTTTTTTTTCCTTGTTTCTGACTTTTTGGTGCTTTATATGGTGAGAGCTATGTTCATAATGGATCAGTGACCCATCTTTTCAGGAGGAGTATTGTTGGAAATAAGTTGGTGGTTTTTTGTTTCTTTTTTTTTTTTTTTTTAGTTTTCACGAATGACCAAAATGACCCCCAGAGGCATTTGAGGGTTTTTGTTAACAGGGGCCTTTCCCCCCTATGTTAAATTTGCAGCTGTAGACACTGCAGTGATTCCAGCAGGCTGCTGGAGCTTTGAAGGCCACTGGATGTTTGTAAGCTGAAAGACATGCTTATGTTAGGAACTTGAGGGGAGAGACACTCGTTGAAGCCTCTGACGCATCATCTTGTGCAGGATCTGCCTTTATGCTTGCTAAATAAGAATTGTAGTTTTAGAGCTACTTGGGCTGTTTTTATGCCTTGAGCTGAGCAGAGCAGGGCTGTCTAAAAACAGAAATGTCCATTTTCTCAATTCTTCCATACCTTTCTGAAGAGATGCAGTTCATCTTCACCTGTATTTGTTTACTGACTGTCCTCACTCCAGTTAGGATTATAGTTTTAACGTTTTACATGTGAAGTCCAGACTTCCAAGTCAACAAATTGTAATCTTCTGAGTATGGGATGTTCTGGTCGACTCAGTTTTGCAGCACTGTACACTGGTATAGATCCAGTGGTAGTAAGCACTAATCTTGCCAAATTGACCTCTAGATTTTAGGTCCGTATATCAAGTTATTACAGATTTGCTGAACAAAGACCGAGCTGATGGGTGAAATAGCTTAACATCATGAAACACTGACAGTTGTCACACCAGTCCCATACTGTACATAATCTAGTCTTGTATGGTAGATATTACCCTGTAGAATGAAACTTAGTTTTCACTTAATTTTACTGGAATACTTACGCATTAAACTGTATAAAGCTTTGCAGATACACCTGACTTACGGAAACTAACAAAACCTGTTACTGATTGCATTACTGTGAACACTGTTTACTTGTGTAGCTATTTTTGGGGGGGGGAAACCATTGTTTGTTAAGCAGCTATTAGAGATGTGGAGCGCCAAGGTTAAGCTAGATGATGGATATAACAAAATGATTTGTTTCCATTTATTACTGATCGTTCTGTTCTCTACTTTGAGGCATTTGTGATATGGAGGTCTTGAAGTTTATACATAACAAACAAGATGTCAGTAGCCCCCCAAGTACAACAGCAGTCTGGCTTTCCTTCACCCAGGCTGGTTATTCTAACACCAAACTTCTAACAGTTGTGGTTTTTTTTTTTTTTCTTTTAAATTTTTTATTGGCTTTTTCCAGTCGGTTGATGTCTGAAAACCATGTATAACTTTCAGTTTGTGAGAAACTGTATGGTTAATGTAACTTAGTTTAATAACAGACTGCAGAAACAAAACTGGAATAGCTCTAATTTCTTCATATAGATAACTGATCAGCTTTTCCTCTGTTCTGACACTTGTGTTGGTAAATCTCATGTAAAGCTTCTCCCGGACGAAGTGGAAAGTGGTGCTGTTTTGTGGCATGACTAGCATTTTTCTCCATGAGAAATGCAGTATTACAGTCCTGGTTGAGAAGTTCACTGTACTTCTAGAACGCTAAATTAATTTCATATAGTATTTGGGCAAAGATTGAGCATAGATTACTTGAATTTTCACTAGCTTGTTTTTTTCCCATTAAAAAATAAACATGTTTTTTAAGGGGTTTAATATAAAATTAGTATAGAACTATTTCACTTTGGTTTTATGAACATGCCACATTGATAAGCAGCTTTAATCTGTAAAGTTTTTGGTAACTGCAAGAAAATATTCGAAAGCTATGCATTTTAGAGAAAGCATAAAGGTAGTGATATTGGTACTTCTAAGGATCTTTATATTAGTGTATATAAAATAGTTTGCATATACAAATATAATATATAATCTGTTTGAAATATTCTTGAATGGTAGGGGCTGTGAAACATATTATAATTTATGGAAATATTGTACACAGTAAACAGACGTCTCAGTACACGAATGAACTTTTGTCATATGCATGAGAAGTGTCTTATTTGGTGACTACTAATGAATGGGATTTTGTTAACCCATTTTTGTTAGATAACCACTTTAACAAATATTATTAAATGCCACTTTGATCAGTTTGCTTTAGTGTAAAAATACATATTCTGTTCCACTTGATTTAGAACAATATGAAAATAACTTTTGTAAGAAGATTTGTTCGAAACTCGACAGTGGCAAACAAATCTGGTAATTAAATGTGGTACACTACACTTGTTCCTCCCCCAACCTTTCCTTTGTTGAAAGCAAGTAAGATTTTTTTCGTTAATGATATGGACATGAAGAAGTTGGGTTGTAAAGTATCCTGTGTTATATGCCTCTGCAGAAAGGCTGTGTATCAAGTGTGTTTCGATTAGGCTGCAAATCTCTCTCCTTCTCCAACACCTATCGCCTCCCTAATAGCTGTCATCTTCCCTGTTACCACGTTTCTTTTCTGCCTGTCAAATCTGAGCTAAACTGGGTTCTTCTGTTGTGCAATGGAGTAATTTGTGAAGGGCGGGGGATAACGGGTTTCCATGAAGATGAAGTACTGGTGGAACTTTCTGAGAAATACTTACTGAACTGTTTAATTTTATATAGCTGGAAAAACAGAGGCTGCTGCACAGAAACTGACAGCAGAAGTTTAAGTAAAGCATTTGCTCTCAAGACTTTTGAAGAGGCAAACATAATACAGCTTTAAACCAGGTGAAGTACCTCTCTCTCTTTAAGATGATTTCATTGAAACACTTCAGTTCCTTCCACCCACATTGAAAGAAAAATTGAAATGAATGTGGAGAGTACTTATGTAGCGTTTAAGATCTGTGAAATTACCTGGAAAGAATTCTTTCCACTCCTTGTACATATAGGGGAAGCCATTACATTATCCTATGATGGTTTTACTGTTTTTAATTTGTAAAATTTATGCTTTGTATGCTTGAGTATAAGCTTAAAAGCATTGCTTAAAAAAAATCCTTGACTAGTAGATGAGTGTTGCTCAACTTATTTCAAACCACTCTCTGTCCAAGTTCGTTACAAAGCTTATTAAATTGAGTTGGAGCGTCATCCCTGTGTGTCTTATCTTAACGGGTAACAGGGCCTCCTGCTGTCGACAGCAGCAGAAAGCATCCTTGAGATACCCCGAAGAAAATAAAAGGATATGGAGTCATATTTTGCCCTAAATATGCTCTTAGGCTACAGCAAGTTGAGGTGGGTTCTGAGCTGCCCTGTAGATCTCTGTTCCATCCAGAAGCAATGTCATGGGTCAGTATTTGTTTCTTCTGTAATCTTCTGAACGAAAAGGGGCGAGTAGGGTTTACAGCTGTTGTATGAACAACGGTGTCCCCAGCCCTGCTCGTCAGCTAGTTTGGTGCAGAGATAAAACACAAAGCTTATGAACGGCACCCTCAAAAGGATTTGTATTTCTCAATTGACACGTTGAGGTGCTAGAAATGATTTTTATTCCTTTCCTCTCCCCTCCCACCTTCATATGATTAAGTTAAGGACAAGACCAGCCAAACCACTGGTGGGCTGCACGTTGATGCGTTCAGGCACCTGGGAACCAGAAAGACCTGTGCATTCTCTGTCGCTCTTTATGTTAAATGGGGATTCCAGCAACATGCTGCTACCTTATACTCACCTGGATGAACTTCTGCGTGGGAGCTGCTGTTCATTTAAAAGCAGTCTCAATTTGTCAGCTTCTCTGATCATTTGCTTATTTTTCTGCATGTTGCTGTCTGCAGCAGTTCTGCAAAGTTGCATTGTTTAGTCCTAGAAACCGCATGCATTTTCTTCAGACTGTGGACAAGTTGCATTGAAACTGCTCTTGGTGAGCAGGGAGCTTTCAAGCTGTGGTTGGATTGTCCTTTCGGGAGACAAAAATTGTCCTTTATGGAATGTGTGAGCCTATTTCTGCCTTCACACCCCTTCAGGATTTGGTCTTGATCTGTGCTTAACTTCATAAAATCTTCAAATAATACAACCATTGTGTGGATAAACTTCAGTGATAGTAAATGTCAGCTCAAGTATTAACCCAATAATCTTTTTGTTTGGTTTAATCTTTTGACAGATTAAGTTGAACACAGGAAAAACTAGAGGAGATTGTGTTCTTGCATAAGACTCTTTTCTTTAGTCAGCACCTGTCTTCTGGGCTGATTCCATTTGCCATTTAATCAGCTCGGTGGGAGGTTTGCTTCCAGAAAATTATGCAGCAGTTAAAGGAACAATGTCTGTGTTTTTACTTGTTAAACTTATTTATGTGCACGTGCTGGATGTTACACTCAAACACTTTTTTTAACTGCAGCTATTTTTGACAGTGAAACTAGCTTCTTACATGAGAAGCAAATTAGTCAAAGAGGCTGTTAATTGAAGAGGTGATACTGAGCAGTACAAGGAGAGGAACTGAAGAGTACACCAAAGAAAGAAAACTTTGTGCAATGTGCTAGATTTCCAAATTGAATCATTATTTCAGTAAGTTAGTAGCCACTGTTGCAGTGTCTGTGTTGGAGGTACTGGCATCCCACAGCAGTGAGACTTAAGATAGTATTAACTCATACACAGGTATGAGTAAGTTTTCTGTATCTGTGATTACTGTACCATGCCCAACACCTCTTCAGTTCTTTTCTAAGCTTACTACATGCATTTCACTTCTGTAATTACATCAGCACTCATCTCCCCTCCTGCCTCAAATTAACTTAACTCCAAACAGATACACTATTTTAAAAAACATACTGAATAATGGTTTTGATTTTTGGCTGCATTTTACCGTGACTTGGCTCCCTCTTCTGGAAATGAGTGAATGAGCTTCACAGTAGCAGAGTGAATGAAATGGGCACAGTAGCAGAGCGAATAAAAATTATAGTTTCCAGTTTCCTGTCCAAATAAAGGGAGGAAAGCCTAGAACTGAATAAAGGCTAAGCCCTGGGGTTACTGCACATGGTTCCCCTCAGTTTCTGCTCGTACCATAGCTTGTTGTGTTTGTT